TGACTGTTGTAATATATCTCATTATTATATTTGACTGTATTATATATATCTCACGCAGAGATATAAACTATGTAACTGCATTTTATTTTAAAAGTAAGAAATACAGTATAAATCCATCAATGAAATATTCATAATATAAATGCAGTTATATTTTTTATATTTAGACGTGAGATTCTTAATTATTGGAAAAAAACAACATTCATATTTATTTAAGAACATATTCTATAATTAAAATATTTAAATTTATAGGATGGTGAAGGAATTTGGTGCTCATAATAATACTGTGCAAATAAAGAGACTGTTAAAAGTTCTTGTACAAGACTTTGCAACTTCCCCCAGTTTACAGATATTTTTGCTGCTTTAGTAAATTGGCCTATGATTTCGAGCAGAATAAAATATGTTACTGAATTACTTGATAGATTAATGGAGGTAAATTTTTTATTGTTAATTTTTTACTTTTTCACATATCTCAGAAGCTTTGCATTATTTTAGGATATTATGATAGAAAGTGGTCTCTTTGATTTATTTGGATTTATGGCTTTATCGAGGGTGCGTATTAATACTAAAAATCCATTTGGTAGACAATTTGTAATATCATGGATATCAGTGTTGGATGCAGTGCCCAACATGGATTTTATTTATAGGTTTGTTCGAAATTCTCGATAGATTTTTCAGATTGGAAGATCCAACGTCAGAGATAAAGATTGCGCAGCATAAAGACCAAAGGTGGAGTTTTCAACCATGATAAATATTACATATGCTCAAAGTTCAGACAAATTACTTCAATTGACTGCCATCACGTTAATAAAAATGTTTGTACAATTATCTGGGCTTCTTATGCTTCTATATATGTCTGGCATTCATGTAGCTATTTTACTATGTTTGACTTACGATGGTGACACCCGGAAAAGTATTAAAGAATTAAAGAAACAGCAACGCGAGTAAATGCTACTTTAATGAGTTAGTAAATAATAAAAAATACAGAGATTACAAATAAGAAGCAAGAATATAATATAGATTTCAAAAAGAAGAAGGGTAATTGACAAGTCTTTATGTAAATAAATTGTTATATAAATTCTTTGTTTTTTTAGATGATTCGCAAAGTTCTCTAGATGAAAATTTAGACCTTGCTAGTGTCGTGGAAAGACAAAGTATTTACTCTATGTATCGGTCCAAACTAAGGTTGCAGTTTTAAAGTGGATACATCATTTATTCACAAACANTCCATATAAAATGTTTCATCACTTTGAGGCTTTATTTCCAATATTAATAAAATCTTTAAACGATATTTTCGATGAAGACGTGCAACAGATTCTAGTAGTAATGGCTGAGATTATTAGTTTCAAACTCTCAGAGACAGTAACGACAGATTCCGACGCAAAAATGCAGAATAACTATTTCACAAAATTTATAGTCAATTTATT